GTGGGTAGGAGCAGCCGACTCCCAGAGGGCGGCCTCACTCTGTGCAACCTTCACGGTCAGGGATGCTGCAAATCTGGTCTTCTGTGAGTCACCCCAGAGGGCATTCTGAGTCCCTCTCTCCGTTGCCCACCCCGGTTTGTCACTGTGTTGGCTCCTTGGCTCTTCTGCACCTCACTCTTCCTTCAGGTCCCGGCCCCACTCGTCACCTCAGGCCCCAAACCTTTGGAAGCGTCAGTTCCCCCACAATGTAGTAACAAACTCGCCCGCTTCCACCAAAGGGGAAAACGGGACTGGATGAGGGGATGAGAAAATCTTGTCTCGCAGTGTGCACATTTCAATACACTGAAAGTGAAGAAGCAGCCAGCCAAGGTGAAGACAGGGCTCTGTGGTCATGCCTTTGGTGGCATTTTTAAACCATGTTTTCCTGACAGCACCCTAGAAGGGCTCATCTCTGTCCAGAAACAATTTCCTAACGTTAGCATTCTTTGCCATCCTGAGAGGCTGGGAGGGAGAAACAGTGGTGATTACAAACCCGCAAGCCCCGGATCCTTCAGAGTTAAGAGCTCGGCTTGCATTTTACTCTAAGCAACCAGAGGTCAGGCAACCCTTCAGCAGTGCCTGGAATCCAGTTCATAGGTACCTGCTCTCTCTTCCGCATTGCGAGACTCCTTTCCTCCTGTTATTGACTGTGTCCCCTCAAAATCCATGTTGCAATCCTATCCCCAATGTGATGAAGTTAGGAGGGGGCTCTTGGGGGTGGTAAGGGGATGAGGGTGGAGCCCTCATGCATGGGATTAGTGCCCTTATTAAAGGGACCCCAGAGAGCTCCCTCGCCCCACTGCCATGAGAAAACGCAGCAAAAGGGCCGTGCCTCCCAAACATTGAACCTGCCAGCCTCCAGCGCTATGAGCAGCCTTTGTTTCAAGCCCCCCTACCCCGCCCCAGCTGTGACATTCTGTCGCAGCAGCCTGGTGGGTGGGAGCACCTGCAGATGCCTCACTGTTCTTTGGGTCTCCACGGAGCCTTCTCAAGGCCAGCAGGTTGCTTTGTCTCTTCAGCAGCCTTCGGCAGCACCCCATACCCAGATACAGATACCTTTTCCGGTTATTATTTTATTTTTTATTTTTTGAGATGGAGTTTTGCTCTTGTTGCCCAGGCTGGAATGCAATGGCGCGATCTCAGCTCACTGCAACCTCCGCCTCCTGGGTTCAAACGATTCTCCTGCCTCAGCCTCCCGAGTAGCAGGGATTACAGGCATGCGCCACCACGCCGGGCTAATTTTGTATTTTTGGTAGAGGCAGGGTTTCTCCATGTTGGTCAGGCTGGTCTTGAACTCTCAACCTCAGGTGATCCACCTGCCTCGGCCTCCAAAAGTGCTGGGATTACAGGCGTGAGCCACCAGGCCCAGCCGGTTATCTTTTGCTATGTAGAAAATCAGTTGATAACAGTGGCTAAAACCACCAGCATTTATTTCTCCCTTGTTCTGTGGGTAAGAAATTTGGGAGTGGCTTAGCAGAGCATTGCAGGCTCAGGTCTGCCATGGAGCTGCAGTCAGGTGGTACCTGGACTCATCTGGAAGGATTTTCCACTCACATACCTGGCCCCCTGCTAGGAAGGCTTGAGAAGCTAGGGGTGGAAACGGCTGGGACTCTCAGGTATCTATGTACTCTAAGGGATCTCTCTCTCTCTCTCTCTCTCTCTCTCTCTCTCTCTCTCTCTCTCTCTTTCTCTCTCTCTTTTTCTTTTTCTTTTGAGACAGTGTTTGCTCCTGGAGTCCGGGCTGGAGTGCAGTGCAACTCACTGCAGTCTCCGCCTCCCGGGTTCAAGAGCTTCTCCCGCCTCAGCCTCCCAAGTAACTGGAATTATAGGCGCCTGCCACCACTCCCGGCTAATTTTTGTATTTTTAGTAGAGATGGGGTTTCAACACGTTGGCCAGGCTGGCCTTGAACTCCTGACCTCAGGTGATCCGCCCGCCTCGGCCTCCCAAAGTGCTGGGATTACAGGCGTGAGGCACCGCCCCCAGCCAGAGATCTCTTTACATAGTCTCTGCACCATGGCAATTTCAGGGGAGCCATACTTTGTATATGGTGGCTTTGGCGTCCACATGTACAAAACCCAAGAGAGTAAGCATCAGAAGTCCCATAGCATCTCTCCTCCATGTCACCTTGACAAAATCCCGCCAAGCTCAAGGGGAGGAGATGCAGACCCCAGCTCTTGATGGAGAGTGGCAAGTTTCTGGAAGAGCAGGTGCAACTCTCAGTAACTGCGTTGTGGTCGTTTCTTGAAAATACAACCTGCCAGACACCACGTTTTACTGGCCCACCCAGCTAGTAGGGGACATGGAGGCAGCTTTCTCGTCGTGGCTGTGATGCGTCCTGCACTCCAGTGGCTCGCTCTTTCAGTGCTGGACACTCCATTGTGGTTGCTGCCTTTGGTGGAAGAATTTAGCATGGCTCAGAATTCTGTCAAGCCCAGAATCTTACCAAGCACAGAATCAACATTTTTTTCAGATAAATAAATGGTAAGTTCTTTTATTATTCCGAGACCATTCATGTAACGTGGGTTGAGTAACACACAATGTGGTCTGACCAGTTATTGTGTAACGAGTGTTAAATGGAGTGTGGAGCTTACCCAGATTTTTCTGAATTAACTCTGATAGAAAGTCTGCTTTATATGTCTTTGCACCGTTGTGTAAAAGAGACCCTCCTATGCCATAAAGTAAGTACTTGAGGGAAGACTTCTCCTGAGTGGGCTGAAAGTTCACAGATGTGTATTACAGATGATCCGCATGAACTAAATGGCATTGGAAAAGCTGAAATTAAGATTTTTTTTTTCCTTTTGGTTACCTCTGTCAAGATCCTCTCTTCTCAGAGCCTGATGTAGCTACAGCTGGCAATAGCCTTGTAATCTTGATTGTAAAATACAGCAGCTGGCCGGGCTCAGTGGCTCACACCTGTAATCCCAGGGGAGGCCAAGGCAGGCGGATCACGGGGTCAGGAAATCGAGACCATCTTGGCTAACACAGTGAAACCCCATCTCTACTAAAAATACAAAAAATTAGCCGGGCGTGGTGGCACACACCTGTAGTCCCAGCTGCTCGAGAGGCTGAGGCAGGAGACTAGCTTGCACCCAGGAGGTGGAGGTTGCAGTGAGCTGAGATCCCGCCACTGTACTCCTAGGTGACACAGTGAGATTTCATCTAAAAAAAAAAAAAAAAAGTACAAGCTACTGGGGAACATGGGTTTTGCATGGAGTGATTATATTAAAAGTGACTCTAGTGATAGTTGGTTTATATTTTCTAAAATTTATGAATCTGCTGTTGTGACATCGAGAAAATTGGACACACAGTAGGCCAGGCAAGATGACTCCTGCCTGTAATCCCAGCACTTTGGGAGGCCAAGGCCGGTGGATTGCTTGAGCTCAGAAGTTCAAGACCAGCCTGAGAAACATGGTGAAACCACACCTCTACAAAAAATATATAAAATTAGCCGGGTATGGTGGTGTGTGCCTGTAGTCCCAGCTACTCAGGAGGCTGAGTTGGGAGGATCACCTAAGCCAGGGAGGTTGAGGCTGCAGTGAGCCGTGATTGCACAACTGCCTTCCAGCAACAGAGCGAGACTCTGTCTCAGAAAAAGAAAAATAGGACACAGAAGAAACTTGGGTGTGGATTGCAAAAGCGGTGGGAAGAGTTTTGGAGATACAAAGGGAGGAAATAGTGTTTCCTGACGAGGATACTCCTAGCCACAGTTTCTAAAGAGAAAATCCACAACTTCTGGGCATCTGAGCAAGGTCCCTTCACCTGAGACTGAGCAAATGAAGATCTGGGGGAAGAGATTGGCATTTTAATGGATCTGGGATTACAGTCCCACCTGCGGGCATCAGTTGGCTTTTGCTACATGAGCCACTCTAAACCTCAGTGACAACAATAAACATTCCTCATGGTCTGCGGTTTGGCTGAGAGCTGGGTGATCCAGGCTGGGCTCAGTAGTGGTCTGTGGGCCGCCTGGTCGAGGCTCAGCCTGTCCAGGACAGCTGGGTTCTGTGTTTCTCTCACCATCCTCCCCAGACCAGTGAGGTGACCCAGCCTGCTTCTCTCATAGCGAAGGCAGAGACATGGAGGAAAGTGAGCCCAATGTAAAAGCCTGTTTCAAACCTGCGCTTGTGTCCTCTCTGCGAACTTCTCATTGGCGAAAGCAAGACACGAGGCAAAGATGGATGTAAGAAGGGGTGGGGAACTGGGATCATTTATACTCTCCACCGCGATCTGTGCCCACCGCCCCAATTCTTCATGTAAAGTTTGCTCACCCCCATCTAAGGACCCCGCTCCTAATTTCTTCCAATCACGCCTCAAGCAAGAAGTCTAGGACCTTGTGAGGCACATCAGGTCATAGTATGGCTTTCCTTAGTCTAGAAGCTTATGAACTTTTTGAAAAGACAAGTTATTGTCCATTTAGGCCCAACATACAGTGACGAGAAAAGGACGCAATAAGGCCCATTGGTAAGGGAAGAATAAATGGGTGACATGACAGTCACATAGCTGTTTTGAAACTCCATGGGGCAAACATTGCCAGGTCCTCTACCTTAAAGCTAGGGAATGTAAGGCTTTGGTTCTGCAACTCAGAAGTGGCTCAGTAGCGCACGAGTTGGCAAACGTTTTCCGTAAAGATCTAAACAGTAAATATTTTAGGCTTTGTGGGCCACATAGTGTGTGTCACGTATTCCTATTCCTCCTTTTCTTTTTAAAAGATGAAAGTCTCTCTTAGGTCAGGGGCTGTCATTTGCCACTGTCCCCCACACTCTGGCCTGTGCTGACACGTCCTTCTTTCTCCCTCACACTTCTGAAAAGGGCATTTTTAAATGTGCCAGTTTGGGCTACTGAGCCTGCTTTCTGCTGGTGGAAAGACTGGGAGGCTAGAAGTCCTTTGACGTTTTGAACAGTGGCAGTCTCTTTCCATCCAGTTAGGAGCATTTTTGCTAATGCGTTCACCTCAACACTCTTGTGGGTTTCCATGTATTTTACCCCATTCCACTCATACCAAGAGACAATTCTTTTTGAAGTGTGTTTAGCTCTCCAGACTTCATTACTGCTGTGTTAGTCACATTGGCTGCAGTGAGATCGTGACATTAGGATTCCTGGGAGCCTGTGGTGGGCGGAATTTAAGATGGCTCCTCCATGATCTTCACTCTCTGGGTGGAAACTGTCAGTCAGCCCACATCCAGGATTGTTGGTCAGTGCTGAAGGTCCTCTTCCCAAGGCTGTTTTTAGCATAGTCTACAAACATAAGCAAAACAGTAATTATAATTGAGCAAGTAAAATTTTTCTTTACCATGGAATCAATGCTGTTACACAATCACATGAGCCCTATCTTTGTCTGTTCAGGCTGCACTAACAAAATCCCAGAAACTGAGTGTTGGAAATAGAAGTTGGAAACAGATGCTCAATGCTGAAAAGAAAAAATAGCACTGGGACAAAGGATCTCTCAGCAAAGCATTTCTTTTTACTTCCTGCAGAAAGGGTACTCCCACTAGCAATCTCGCCATGATTGTACAACGGACAAAGGAAAGCAGACATATTTATTTCTTACCCATTTGGGGTTGTCCTCACTGCTGCATCTGATCTCCGTTGGCTGGAGCCAGACCTCACAATCTAAACTAAAACCCGATTGGCTAATAACTTGAAACTTTTCTAAACAGATAAAAGCAATGGAGAGCAAAAGAGGGAAGTCCAAATAAGGAAGGGGCACAGGCTGCGAGCTGGGACGTGCCTGTGAGCACGTCCAGCACAGGTATCTTGGTTAAAGTACAAGGACACAGAATGTACTACGTGCCTGTAAGCATATCTAACAGCTACATAGTATATGACGTCTAGCAAAAAGGAAAGACAGCTTTTAAAGAAAGTGTTTAAAACAAACGATTATGAATTTTTCTTAAGAAAGTGTTTAAAACAAACACATGAATTTTTCTTAAACAAGAAAGGAAAACAAACTATTATGAATTTTTCTTAAACAAGAAAGTGTTTAAAACAAACACTTGCCGGGCACAGTGGCTCAAGCCTGTAATCCCAGCACTTTGGGAGGCCGAGGCGGGTGGATCACGAGGTCGAGAGATCGAGACCATCCTGGTCAACATGGTGAAACCCCGTCTCTACTAAAAATACAGAAAACTAGCTGGGCGTGGTGGCGCGTGCCTGTAATCCCAGCTACTCAGGAGGCTGAGGCAGGAGAATTGCCTGAGCCCAGGAGGCAGAGGTTGCGGTGAGCCGAGATCGCACCATTGCACTCCAGCCTGGGTAACAAGAGCGAAACTCCGTCTCAAAAAAAAAAAAAAAAAAAAAAAAACTTATGAATTTTTCTTAAACAAGAAAGGAAACTTTGAAGAGGAACTTTCCTCCTTTCCACAATTTTCCTCCTCTTTTACTTTATGGTTCCTCTTCAAACTTGTTTAACATATCTTGACTCAACTGCTCGGCTTGACTTCCTACCAGAAGTAGCTTTTCTCAATAAGGTGGAGGAGGGTTCCAGGAGATTTCAGTAAGTGCTGTGTTTACTAGTCTTTGTACTAGCCCTCAGATGCATGGTATAATACAGCACCCAACAAGAAGGAGTATACTTATTACAGTTGCTAAAGACGGAAGAATTGAGGCTATGGTCTCTTTCCATTGACGGAACCATCTCTCGAGCCAATTTGAAATAGGGTTGTTAATGCTGGAATTTTTTGCTAACTCATTTAATAGGCAGTAAGCCCTTGGAGAGCTTTTGTTATGCTTCCATTGGGAGCAGTGTTGTTTGGGATAAAGGTGCAACACTGAGTTTTGATCATAACACAAACACCACCTTTTTCTGCTAATATCATGTCTAAAGCTATCCTGTTCTCCCAGGCCATTTGACTAGTAGATCTTAACTGTTCAGCTATTCCCTTAACCGCAGCTTTGGCATAGTTAACAAACCGCTGATGGTTGTAATAAATGTAGTTTATCCAATCTACATTTTTACTAGTTGTTACACATCAAAACAACATGGACTCAAACCCTGTAGTTATTTGATTCCTGGCTTTAAAATTTTCTGGTACTCCACGAGGAACTCCAGTGTCATCTAAATAGATATTATCCCTGTACTAATTTTTCTTTGTGGCACCGAGCATCTATTTCCAACTTGTATTTCCAACACTGAGTGTCTTCTAGACACCAGAAATGTATTGCTCTGAACTCTGAAGGCCGAACAGTAAAAGATCATGGTGCCAGCAGGTTTGGTGTCTGGTGAGGGCCCAATTCTGATTCATGGAAGTCCATCTTTTTGCTGTAACCTCACATGGCAGAAGGCGTAAGGCGGCCCTCTGGGGTTATCTTTATGAGAATGCTAATCACCTCCCCAAGACCCCACCTCCTAATATCATTACACTGAGGATTACTTTGCAACATATGAATTTGGGGAGATTCACATATTTGAACCACAGCGAGCCCCTTAAAAGCGGAGTTTCCTCCACCTCGGAGCAGAAGGGGATGTCAGAGAACCTGGAAGGATAGGATGGATCCGACATGCTCTTACTGGGTTTGAAGATGGAGAGAGCCAGCCATAAAGACCAGAGAGTGGCCTGTAGGAGCTGAGAGTGACCCCTGGCCATCAAGTGTGGAGGCTCGGCTTCATTTTCTGCTAGAGGTACACAGTGAATAAGCCTAGACACAATGACATGCAGTAGGTGCTTAATAAAGATCTCTTGGGAAATGAGTGTTAAATCAGCATTTATTGCGCCGGGTGCGGTGGCTCAAGCCTCTAATCCCAGCACTTTGGGAGGCCGAGGTGGGTGGATCACGAGGTCAAGAGATCGAGACCATCCTGGTCAACACGGTGAAACCCCGTCTCTACTAAAAATACAAAAAAATTAGCTGGGCGTGGTGGCGCGTGCCTGTAATCCCAGTTACTCAGGAGGTTGAGGCAGGAGAATTGCCTGAACCCAGGAGGCGGAGGTTGCGGTGAGCCGAGATTGCGCCATTGCACTCCAGTCTGGGTAACAAGAGTGAAACTGTCTCAAAAAAAAAAAAAAAAAAAAATCAGCATTTATTGAGCTCCTGCTGTATGCCAAGCCCATTTCAAGCTATGAGGAAACAGATGACTAAATTGACTAAGGTCTGTTCTCACAGAGGCACTTATATAGTCCGGTGAAGAAAGAATTCTTTCAGAATTATTCCTAAGGACGTTTTCAGAGCCTGGCAGGGCTGAGGAAACATTGCAGAATCAGACCCACCTTGGCCTTGGGGTGCTCAGGGTGGGTAAAGCCAGCCTCTGACTTACGGCCAAAGCCCCAGACAGAGCGAAGCTTACAGTCTTAAGAAAAAAGTAGGGGGAGGCTGGGTCACAGCCGTCAGCATCCGCACGGAGCTCGCAGCCCTGCATTCAGGAGCATCTGTCTGAGGCAGGAGGGAGCTGAGGCCCTGGCTGGGGGAAAATCCCAGCCCTGAGCACCCAGCTTCTCGGAGCCTGGACTATTCTAACGGGACCACGGAATTCGGTTATTATTTATTTTTATGTATTTATTTTGAAACAGGGTCTCGCCCTGTCATTGGGCTGGGTGCAGTGGCGCGATCAGGCGTTCAGAGCTCACTGCAGTCTCGATCTCCTGGCTCAAGCAATCCTCCCACCTCAGCCTCCCAAGTAGCTGAGACGACCAAGTAGCTGGCGCGCGCCATCACGTTGGGCTAATTTATTGTTTTGTTTTGTTTTACCATTTATTCATTTATTTTTTTAAAAAATTATTTTACTTTAGGTGCATACTATATCGGGCATTTCTCCCCATGTTATCCCTCCCCACCCCCCAATGTCTCTCCCCTACCCTCCAATTGTCCCCTGTGTGTGATCCTCTCTCTGAGTCCACGGGTTCTTGTTTTTTTTTTTTGTTTTTTTTTTTTTTTGAGACGAAGTTTCGCTCTTGTTTCCCAGGCTGGAGTGCAATGGCGCGATCTCGGCTCACCGCAACCTCCGCCTCCTGGGTTCAGGTGATTCGCCTGCCTCAGCCTCCAGCCTCCTGAGTAGCTGGGATTACAGGCACGCGCCACCATGCCCAGCTAATTTTTTGTATTTTTAGTAGAGACGGGGTTTCACCATGTTGACCAGGATGGTCTCGATCTCTCGACCTCGTGATCCACCCGCCTCGGCCTCCCAAAGTGCTGGGATTACAGGCTTGAGCCACCGCGCCCGGCCTGTTTTTTTTTAAGGGTTCTTCGCTTTGCTGCCCAGGCTGGTGTGGAACTCCTCCCACCGCAGCCTCCCACGCCCGGCCTGGGTGCTTATAATTTGGAATGTTGGGAACTTACACAGCAGTGCTTGGGACCTGGTTATCAGCGTCAGCTAGTTCCTTAAACTAGCGTGAAGTCGACCCAACCTTCAAGCGGTGTGAGGGTCCCCGCCCTAGGATCCCCAGGCAGTCCCGGCGCCAGAGCCGGGGGGCACGTGGGGCGCGCGTGCGTGCGCGGGGCCGCGGAGGCGGGAGCCCCAAGTGCGGGTCTAGCTCGCTGCGTGGCCGTAAAGGAGCCCGGGTGTCGTAAAAGGGCCGCAGTGGCAGCGCCCTGGCCGACGGCTGGTAGCCCATTTTGGACGCCGTCGTCGCTGCGAAAACCGGTGCCACCTGTTGCTAGTCCGGTCGCTGGTGACAGCGAGGCTTCCGCGCGCGCTGCTGCTGGGCGGCCTCGGAGCGGCCCGCGGGCGGGAAGGGCCGGCGGCGGGATGCGGCCTGTGGACGCGGACGAGGCGCGGGAGCCCCGGGAAGACCCAGGCAGCCCGCTGAGCCCTGCGTCCCACGCCGGCCGTGAGGACCGGGCCTCCCTGGAGCGCGAGCGCGCCCGGGCGCACTGGCGGGCCCGCAGGAAGCTGCTGGAGATCCAGAGCTTGCTAGACGCCATCAAGAGCGAGGTGGAGGCGGAGGAGCGGGGCGCCCGGGCCCCTGTACCCAGCCCGCGCGCGGAGGCGGAGGAGCGGGTGGCCAGGCTGTGCGCCGAGGCGGAGAGGAAGGCCGCGGAGGCGGCGCGGATGGGCAGGAGGATCGTGGAGCTGCACCAGCGGATTGCCGGCTGCGAGTGCTGCTGAGCCGGCGGGGCCGCGCGGGGCTGGAGCGGAGCGCGGCGGGGAGTGTCGCGCGTGGAAGGCGCTGGGCAGCCAGGGAGGGGCGCGCAGAGCCGTGGCCACGCTCTCCGCCAAGTTGGTTTCACTCTTTTTTCATAGGTAATTAGAGGAACTAATTTGATACGTTGTTGTAAAGAGTCATGACCACTTAAAGTATTTGCAAGACGTAGACTTGCTCGGTCAGTGGGTGGAGAGAAAAGTGTGAAGCGAAGGTACTTGCTGGAAACATGTGAATGTTGTTATGAGATTGGAGCGTTTGCGATGACCTTCCTGCAGGTGGTAGCATCGTGCACAGGTGGTTGGGTCTGTGTGACTCCCAGATAGGAGAATCTCAAGCTCAAAATGTATGTTGTGATGATGAATTTCCCCTGCTTGTACCTTAGGTTGCCAACTGATGAACTGTGTTCACCTGATAAGGAGTTCGTGGCTGCTTGGACAGACTGATACCAAGAGAGCCTTTCGTTTTGTGTCCCCTGTTTTTCTGCCTGCGTTTTCTCCACGTTAGCCACTAAATTTCCAGTACCAACCTGGTGGATGACTTCAGCATTAGATGGTCATGTGTATTTTTTGGTTAATAAGTGCATTCAGTTTGGAAGAGACAGCTTTTCATTCATGTCCCAAGCGAAGGAATAGGGCCTGTACAGTATGTACGCTGCTGTGTGGTCATATTTGTTCCTGCGATTTTATTCTGTTTTCAAAGTTTGGAAGTATACCCTTGTGCTTTCCTATTTTTTTATGCTTCTTGGAATTTGGGGACTCATGGGAGACTGGAAGTTAGAATTCTACAAGTGAGAAGACACTACGTGGTTGCAGCTGCCAAGATCAAGAACCCGAGCCCCAGTCAAGGTTGTGAATGCGACTTTGGATGAGATTGAGAAGGCCCCAGTGGATGGTTGGTCTGGAAGAGTGGTGGTGTGTGGATTTGAGGACCATCAGATCAAAGGAGGAGAGCTGTTTTGGTGTTTTGTTTTTTTGTTTTTATAGCATTTTTTTTTTTCCTGGAATGTAATTTTCCTATGGCATGTTAACTGGTGCACGTTGTGTAACCTGTCTGGTGAGGAATCTATAATTGGGATGAGTTCTAGGCATATGTGTTTGCTAACTTTGGGGTAATCTTCGTTATGATAGTCTCTGCCACAAATGCATGTGACCTTTTCAAGGGCCCAGAGTGGCTGAGGAAGGAAAGCTTCAAGCTGGCCATGAGGGTCTCAAACAGTCATTCCAGGCTTAGATGATGACTAGCCTAGGTTATCAGAGCCCAGACTCCACAGGGACTAAAATCAGAGCTCCGCCTTGTGATGATTTAGTTCATTTGCTTACAAAAACACATGCTGAAAGCCAGCTTTTAGAATCTTTGTGCAGGTGACCAAAGCAATTGGCCAGGAAAAAGTAAGATGAATAAACATTTTTCAAAATGAGTTTCTCCTTGAGAGTCGTCACTGTCAAATGGAGATGAATTGCTTCTGATTTAGGAGTTCTTCAAAGCCTGTGGCCCAGTGTGGGGTTTGAGCTGCAGAAGGGGAAGGAAGCAGACCTTAGAGGAGGAGGGGTGCCTCATGAAGCCATGTAGTCTGGCTGCAGCTTTAGGAGAGCTGAAGTTCATTCAGGCATCCAGTATTCACTGTGACCACAGAGCTCCACGATAGGTTAGGCACTAGGAATTTCTTAGACGATCTAGTGGGTTGAGACAGGTCTGAAAATATAATTATAGTTCAGTGCCTGCAGTGCTAGTCTTTGATGATGCTGATGCTACCTGCGTGAACAAAGTGCTTATAAAATTGGATCTGAGGGCCAGACACAGTGGCTCATGCCTGGAATCCCAAGTCTTTGGGAGGCCTAAGCAGGAGGATTGCTTGAGGCCAGGAGTTTGAGATCAGCCTGAGCAACATGGTGAGAACCCTGTCTCTAAAAGAAAGAAAAAAAAGTTAGATCTGGTATTCATAAGATGCTTAGAACTCTGTCTGGCCATCGTTAGTGCTGTATAAGTATTTGTTAGATAGATAACCCCAAAATGAGGGAAGCAGGAAAAAAATGATATGTACCCATAGAGTGGCAAGTTCTGTGGCAAACAACCAAACGGCCTTGGGGGATAGGGTATGGGGTTTCTAGTTGATTTGTATGGTTAGGTGACATGTCTGATGTGACATTTGCCTGAAGGCCTATGTGAGGAATATACATGGGTATCTAGGGAAAGAGTCTTCTAGGCTGGGGGATCAACCAGGGTAAAAAGGTGAGGAACAGCATGAAACCCCAGTGGGAAGGGAGGAAGTGGCAGGCATTGAGGTCAGAGGGAGCAGTGGCTGGATGTGAAGCTGCTGGGGGGTTGCCAGCAGAGGATGACAGGAGCTGACCATCTGTGAAGAGGCGGCTGCTGTGTTGAGGCCTGACAGTGGGGGACAAGGACAAGAGTGGGAGCCTGGAGAGTGAACCGTGTGCTGTGTGGGTGATGACGGATGAGGACCGCGTTGGGAAGGTGCGAGGGCCTGCGTGTGGACACGAGCGGATTCAGAGATGGTTCCGAGGCCCGGGACCTGAGCACCTATTTCATACCATTTGTCAAACTGGGCCACTTTTGAAAGTGAAAGGTGGCTCTATTAATAGAAATTCATCTGGGACTACAGATGTAAACAAGGACTTTCACAGGCAAAGAGGTGCTTACACTGTGTGGGGGGGGGACTTAGGGAGGAGTCCCTTCAGACCCACTGACTCTTGCTCTGAGCCAGAAGCTTGGGCACAGCTACACAAACAGCATCCCAAGCACAGGGAACACAGAACAGGTCAGGGGCCCAGAATGGCCTGCAGAGGCCACCAGTGGGTGGAGGCCACCAGGGGGCAGGGAGGAATTGGGGGTGTTGGGGGGGGGTCCTTTGGGAGACCTGTCTTTGAGTCTTATATCTCAGGTAAGGCAAGTACGCTTACAGTTAAAAGAAATGTTTCCTTAAAAAAATGATCTCCGGGATTGTTAAATTTGCTTTAGCAAACTCATGAAGAGGAACATCATTCTATAGGATGTCAGTGGGATGGATGGAGTAGGCTGGATTCTAAGACCACACCAAGGGGCCAAAAGGGAAACAGCTTGTACTGGCCTGTTTCCTCTGTTACCTCCCAGTCCAATTCCCAAAGCTCCCACCAGTGTCAGGACACTGGGGATGAGAAAACAAAAACCTCTATTACAAGAATCCACTTGGGTGTAGGCAATTTAACATACATTATCTAATTTTCACCAATATCAGAGATCATTTTATTATCCCCATTACTCAGGTGAGAAAACTTCAGCAGAAAACAACCCTCAGAACCTTGTCTGGAAGAATTCAATTGATGCCAAAGCTGTTTCACAGCATCAGTAGCTCCTGTTGTACCATCTACTTCCTCTACGCCCAGCAATCAGGTCGTGATGGATTTTGAAACAACGGTTCAGAATGCTGACCGCTCTAGAGAGGGCCACAGCAGCAAGCATGGGACTGAGTTTCCAGCCTCATGGAATGTTCCAAGACAGACCCTCTCTGACTGACAAGAGGTGTGAGGCATCGCTCAGGCTGAGTGAGATTTGGAGGCCTGAATGCAGGCATCCCACCCTCTGCTCATGTCCCATGTCCAGATGTCTTTTGAACACCAACCAGTGGATGTCATAGGATGGATTCACTTACCTGTTGATGTATTCATTCAGTGCATTTTGCTGGCAATGTACTAGGTCCTTGGGACACCAATGGCAATGGAGTCATCAATTCATTTGTTCAAGTGTTCTTTGAATAGTTACTGAAGACTTAACACATGCCAGGCCTGGAGTAGACATGACAGCTGTATCTTACACAGTTGCTGCCTTCAGAGGGTTTGCACCCTAGTGGGTAAGATGGCCATTTAGCAGCCCCTGCCTGTGCGTGAGAAATGCTGAGCATGAGCAAAGCCCAGGGTGGGGGTTATCTGCCCAGCCAGGGAATAGACAAGGCTCCTGCCCTGAGGGGTTGCTGATCATATGTTACATGATTGAAGCTGTGTGGGGATGTGGGCAGGGGAAGGGAGGGTGTGTGGAAGGTTCCAGTCAGACTGACCCCATCCTGCCAGCAGAGAACAGCCAAGGCCCAGCCCTCTACACATGCATGTTGCTTCATCCTGCCTCACTCCTTTGATAAAAGCGGTTTGCATTTTGGGTGCCATGATGGTAACAGCTAAATTTGTGAACTTCCATCTTAGGAGCCAAGGGCAATATCCTGTGTCTGAGCCAAGAGGAAGGGAACCCACTGAGGGAGAAAGAGCCCTAACCCCTGTGAAGGTACACCAGACAGCGGACAGCACACAAGGCATGGGCTGGGGTCAGAAGGGCAGTTCATTCCTGGCTCTGCCAATCACTCACCCTATGACCATCTCTTTGGGACCACCATAAAATGAAAGATTTGCACTGTGTTGTCTCTGAGTTAGCTTGGAGCCTTGACATTCCATGTGACTCAGATTCATATAAAGTAACCAGCCACCTCTTTGACAATTTTAGCCTTGCCCTTTGAGTTAGCACCTTGAAGACATGTGTCTGAGGCCCTCTCAGAGATTTTTGGAATTTCATTGTATGGTCTAGCCACACTAGCACTTCCAAGTAGGTCTTATATTTGGAATAAGAGTTTCATTAGCCAGCAGAAGATTCCTGGGTTCCAGAGGTGCCCTGAGACCTCTCCAACTGGAAAAAGGTTGATAAACAAATGAAAATGATCCTTGATCTTTCTCCCCCTTGATTACATCATAATACAACACAATTCTTGGCTATTCAAAGGCATCCTAAACTTGGGTCATGGTGTACCCATCAGTCTTACTATTTGTTCAGTGTACTGTAAATCAGACACATTTTTCTGTGTTTCTTAATTCCCTCAGTCATGATTGTACATATACTCTGGAACTCAGAAGAATGAAGAGTTCTTTAATGTGGTCCCTTGAGTCATTGCTCTCTGACAAACCAGTCCTCTTTATTGAAAGATAGTTTTGCTGGGTATATAATTTTAGGTTGGCAAATATTTTCTCTTGCTGTCATTAACATCATCTCACTGACTTTGGCTTCTATCATTGAGAATTCAGCTGTCACTCCAGTGTTTGGCTTTTAGAATGGGATTGAAGTCTGGGCCACAGAATGCAGAGCATGCAGGCTTCTGTGGTCTCCCAGTCCGTTTCCTCAGTGCTCCTTCACTCCTTCTGGTCACACTGGCTGCTTTGCTGTGTTGGCCTCATGGCCTTTGCCTGTGTTGAATCCCCTGGCTGGGATACTACTGCAGCTGAACAGTGGTAAAAAGTGGACAGAGAAAACGTGAAGCATTCTTTGGAGAAGTTCTGCTGTGATACGGCAGAGAAAGGGGGTTACAGCAGGGATAGCTGAAGGGAGGGTATCTTTCTCGTGTGTGACCATGTGTGGTGTGGACAGAGGTACTGACTGATGAGACTGACCTGGTGTAGCAGGATCCAGGAGGCACAGCTGCAGGCAGCAGGTGGCCCCTACAGCTCCCCCTGCCGGGCCCTGCCTCCCTCTGTACCTTGCAGAGTCCCTCCTCTGGTGGTCAGCCAGTTTGCATAACCCTGCCCCCAACCTAATTACCCAAAGCCAGCAGCCAGAGGTGCACCCTCACTGACACTTCATTTCTAGAACATTTCCTTTGGGAACATAAAACCACAGCCCAAATGCCACCCTCAAGCCCCCAGCCCTCTCTCTGCTTTCCCCCAGAGGGCACCCCAGCCAGCTTAGGCTCCCCTCACTCAGCTTGTCCCGTACTTCAGTGCACCAAGCCTTTCGTGGCCTCTCCCTCCTGGAGGAGTCCAATTTGTTGTGAAGTTCTGTGTTGGATGATTATGGTTGATAAGCCCGTTCTCCCAGGGTCCCCAGGGGAAGGTGGCCTGAAAAGCTTCCTCAAAAAGCAGGAGGATGCCTCCTCTAGTGGCATCAGTGTCCTGCCGGCTGCCCCCAGCCTCTGCACAGCCCTGTGCTGATGGTTGAGAGGCCTTGCTGCCATTCAGAAGGCTGCCTCCAGTGCATTCAGCGGGTGTGCCTGAGGCGTGGAGGTGTGCAGGCAGGTGCAGTTCATAACCGAGGAACAGTTGTGCTGTTTCTTTTTCTTCTCTTTCTTTCTTTTTCTTTTTTTTTTTTTTGAGACAGTCACGCTCTGTCACCAGGCTGGAGTGCAGTGACGCAGTCTCAGCTCACTGCAACCTCTGGCACCCTGGTTCAAGCCATTCTCCTGCCTCAGCCTCCCAAGTAGCTGGAATTCCAGGCACACGCCACCATGCCCAGCTAATTTTTGTACTTCTGGTAGAGACGCTGTTTCACCACGTTGGCCAGGATGGTCTCAATCTCCTGACCTTGTGTTCCGCCCACTTCAGCCTCCCAACGTGCTGGGATTACAGGTGCCGAGCCACCGCGCCCGGCCTGTGCCGTTTCTTAATCAAGCTCACAGAAGCCCAGGCTTACTGTGGATCCATTTGCGCCCCACTCGGAACGCAGGCAGTGGTCCTTTCAAGGCTCGGCCTGAGCGCAGATGATGAGAGAGGGGACTTCAGAACTCTTCTTCCTGTGCAGCCTGGGGGCCACCTGGTGGACAGCCTTTGGGGAGGATGTTTGCTGTGCTACTTAAGAGTCCACGAAGGTCCCATTGGAAGACTCATCCTGCATGTCCACTTAACTGGGAAGGCACCAGTCTCATCAATGGCGAATCTGAGGAGCATCATTTCTCAGCTTCTCATCATTCTTAGGATGCTTCCAGCCCAGCCCTCCTGAGAGGTCCAATGACTGTGGCTGGAAGAGGGGCGCCCTAGTGAAAAGATTTTTCCAGCTGCCATCCAGAGCTCACCTCACCAAGTCTCCAGGGTTGTTGGGGGAGCTGGGCAGCGTTCTTGGCGTTTCTTTGCTCTGGCCCTGGTGCAGGTGGGAGGAGGTGAGCGGAAGATTGTTCCCATCATGCCTTCTGCATCTGTGAGCTGTACATCCCTGGGGAAGGCACCAGACGTCTCCGGATCTCTCTCCCCACCCATAAAATGAGCATGATACTCCCTGCCTGTATTCCTGCCAGAACTTCTGGGAGGAATGGAGAAAACTTTACCTTAGACTAGGGATTAAACTTTTCCCTAAGGAGCCAGATAGTGAATGCCCTAAGAAGGCTGGGCATGGTGGCTCACGCCTGTAATTCCAGCACTTTAGGAGACCATAGCAGGTGGATCACTTGAGTGAGGTCAGGAGTTCAAGACCAGCCACAGCCAACATGGTGAGCCTCGTCTCTAGTAAAAAATACAAAAACTAGCTGGGCATGGTGGCATGCACCTGTAATCCCAGCTACTCAGGAGGCTCAGGCAGGAGAATCGCTTGAACCCAGGAGGTAGAGGTTGCAGTGAGCTGAGATGGTGCCACTGCACCCAGCCTGGGCGACAGAGGGAGACACCATCTAAAAAAAAAAAAAAAAAAGTAAATGCCATAAGGTTTCTGTGCTGCTGAGCCTTAGTAAGTCCAGTAAGATAACTCAGCCCACTGGCAGATTAGTGGAGAAAGAAAAATATATGAAGGTCTCATTAGGCACAGAAAAGGCATTTCACACAATCCAGTATGTGACCATTCATTTCAAAACTTCTCACACATTTGTTCTAGGTGGATAAATGTGTCCACTTACAACCTGCCGGAAAGGTTCTCCTGAAGCCAGAGGATAATGAAGCCATGCCGTCTAACGTGAGGGCAGCCAGGGTGCTTGCAGCTGGAGCAGGAGGGCTGGGGGAGGGGAGTAGTGGGCAGAGATTTGATTGGTTTTAAATAAACCTTTACCACCCATACCCCTGGGAAACAATTACGGCCACACCAGCCAGCTCTCCTCACCTGGTTGCAGAGAGCACCCCAGGTCTGTCGTGGGCAGCAGAGTTTGGCAGGACACTGGCCCTCACCTTGACCCTCACCCCTCTAGTCCTCCACCCTCTGTCTCTCCTCCCTCAGCCCTGCCTCCATACCCCACAGCTCCAGGAAAGGTGCTCCTGCCCTGGGCTGGGTTCTAGGCACTCAGAAGTGGGTTGGACCCACCTTTGGCCCTTGCAGAGCTCCCAGGCACTGGCAGGTCCAGTGCTGGCAGCAAGGGAGGCCCTGGACAAAGGGGCCAGCACAAGAAGGACAAGACTGCCTTGCTGGACCAACGTGGAAAGCGTGCTGGGAGGGCTCGGGCCGAAAGGCAAGAGTGGGACGTGGCCGTGGTGCCCGTGAGCCTGCGAAGGAAGATGTGCGCCTTCTCGCTGCTGCACACACCAGCGCTGACGCCTAGAAGCTGGGGCATGTGGGCACGTTCTTCTGGAAGAAACCACGGCAGCTATTACTAGTTGCCCCAGACTGAGGGCTGGAGCTGGGTAGGGTGAGGGTTTTCCATTTCACGAGGTGCCCTTCTAATCTCGCTTGAATTTTTTAAGCCTGCTTGGGAGCCGATTTATTTAGTTGTTAATATCAACAAATTTTATCTGAGTAGCAAGTTGAGACTCCATTTTTTTGTTTCGTGATTTATACTTCACAGTGTTTTAAAAAACTAATAAAAGTAACATTAGGCCAGGCATGGTGGTTCATGCCTGTAATCCCAGTGCTTTGGGAGGCTTGCTTGAGCCTTGGAGTTCAAGACCAGCCTGGGTAACAGAGCAAGAAGTTTTTAAAAAGTTGTCACCACTACTCAGGAGGCCGAAGCAGGAGGATGGCAGCAGAGCGAGACTCTGTCTCTTTAAAAAAAAGTAATATTATACAAATTTTGAAAAATAAAGGTTAAAGGTAAAACGTAAGCATTCAGGTGCTTCAACTTTAGTCTCGTTTCCGGGAGTCCCAGGGGCTCCCAGGCTAAAGTTAGAGGGGCCGGGCTGGGGTGCTCAG